GTACACACCCCACATCCCAGGCACATGTGTACACACCCCACATCCCAGGCATACGTGTACCCCACATCCCAGGCACACGTGTACCCCACATCCCAGGCACACGTGTACACACCCCACATCCCAGGCACAGTGTAAATCTTCATGTTCTACAACTGGCCATTCACCAACCTATTTCAATCTTACCTATTAAATCCTGTTTAGCATCCTTTCCATTGCTCTAGACTGGTACCAAGAGTCCTTTTCCTTTAACCCTAAAGCACGGATTGGCTCTGCTCCCATGGTCTAACCACCCACTAGGATGGTCTGAATCAGAACCGCCCCTATAGACTCCTGTATTTGAATGCTTGGTCTGAAAGGAATACAGGATTAGGAGGTGTGCCCTTTTTGGAGGAACTGTTACTTGTGGGATAGGCTTTGAGGTTTCAAAGGCCCTTGCCAGCCCTTCCCCTCCCCCCACCCCAGTCCCATGTGTGATGCTCCCACCATGATGATAATGGACTAAACCTCTGAACTGTAAGTCGGCCCCAATTAAACGTTTTCCTTCATAAGAGTTGCTGTGGTCACAGAGACTCTTCACAGCAATAAAACAGTGACGAAGACACCCCTTCCAACTTCCCAAGGTTCCACTTATCACAGGGGACTGTGGCTGCTCCAAGAGGTTCTTTGCCACTGTTCAACTCCATGCTTCCCTGCACAGCGCTGTTTCCTTCAGTTTCTCTTTCAGAGTACACTCCAGCGAGACTCAACTGCACGGAGTCCCTTGCACAAGTATGAGTTTCTCTTTACCTGTGCCTGTCTGCCAGACCGCACTAAAATAACCCACACCTTCTCTTTCAACCGGAGCCGCAGAGAGCAGGTCTTATTCTTGTTAGAAACCACATGGCCAACCACCTGTCCTTCATTCCCGAGGGTCTGGGAAAGAGCAATACATTTCAGTCCTCAGAGATCTCAGTCTGTGTGGGGACTCAGCAGATTTCCTACCTACCTAGCACTCACTTCTGGGACTCATCACAGGAATTTTTACAAATCTGTGCAAATGAAAGAGTCTTCATAAACCACTGTCTACGGATCTGTCGGGAACACTGCTCTGACTCATTTTTCCTTAAACAGCAAACGTGTCTGTGGCCAAAGCAGCCGGAGCGATGGCTTGAGCCGCCCTAATTACGGAGCCTCTGGTCTTCAGCAAATTATAGCTCCTTTACTAGTAGAAAACCTCTTTATATACATGGAGATAAAGTCACATCTAAGTGATCCAAGTGAAATTAAGGACATAATTTGGTTAGATGTTTACAAAGTTGCATAAGATTAAAGATGTCTAGATACCTGGCCCTGCCTGCCCCTACACAGCCTCCCTCAATTCTCTTCTCAGAATCAAGAACATGAACGGTTGTCCTGATGCCGCAGCACAAATCTCAATAGCCTCGGACTGACTGTCTCACTGGCCCTTCTCCTCTGCTGAGAAGTTAGGGTCACGGGAGGCCTCTCTTCCCTTGTCTCCCACACCCTTTGAGCCTGACAACATGACCCCACAGAACGTAAGTACAAGAGGAAGGGTCAGGACTGCCTTGTTAACAAAAGTCCTAACAAATTCACGTTAACCGAGTAGTAGTGAAATTCTGACTAATTTAACATAGACACATCACTAGAAAACAGGCTTTGCCCTAGGCACAACTGGCCACATTTCCTCTCTGATAAATATCTGTAACTTCCCGGAGCGTTAAGTCTGCAGTCAGATTTACACTTCATCAGCCCTGCGGTCCGGGACAGCATTCAGCTGCTCTGACTCACGGAGACCGGCTGAGGTTAGCTCCCACAGCTGCTGTACCCACTGTCCTTGTCAAATGCTTGCCCCTTAAACGAGAGTCTGACACAGAGGAAAAGAAAAAAAACCTTCAGAAGATTTTTCAACTGTTTAGTGTTATTTTTAGTTTGGTGCTTGGATGTCTCCACCGCTCTCAAATGCCAGGCTTTCTTCAGGGGAAAATAAAAATAAAGAGAACAGAGCTCAAGACCACATTCTTGGGGTTCTCACTTGCTCTCAGTGAGTACATTGTAAAATTTTCACAAGTGGTCTCTGGAAATGAAAACTGAGTCCCCTAAATGCTCAAAGCCCACTTAGCAGAGACTCCTGGGCATGTGGGCGCGTGCTGAGCGCTGCAGCAGAAGCAGGTGGTCGTTGGCTGTTTCCTTACATGCCCAGTCCTGCGAGAGCAGCTGGGTATCCACTCATGTGCCAAGGAGAGACCTCACACAGAAGAACATGGGGTGGGGGTCCTGGGATGTTTAAGGTTTAAAAGCCTGGGTTCTAAAAGATTTAGGGGATAACAGTTGTTAAATCCACGGACCCCTTTTTCCCCATCCCTAGGTTAGAGAACTATTCCATGCCAAGAAGAAAAATGAGAAGGACTAAGATGAGAAGAAAGGAGAGGAAGAGGAGGAAGAAAGGTGAGTGGAGGGGAGGCAGGAGCCAGAAGGGGGCAAAAGTCCATGGTGCTGGGGGCTCTCTACTACAGTGCACCTCCAGACCATCTCAGATCGGGTCACTGCCCAGGAAGACAGGGCCTCCAGACATGCCAGGGAACCTAACCATTCCACTTTCCTTGTAGAAATGGTAAAAGGAAAAAGACACCGGAGTTTTTCTGTGTTCGTTATTTTATCTGTTAGGATCCAAAGGAAAGAAACCAGCATTAAGAGTGCTCTTTCAGAGGATCCACGCTCAGTACCCACGTGGCAGGGCACAAACAGCCCTGGGGACCCGATGTGCTCCTGGCTTCCGTGGGCACCGGGCATCCACGTGGTACAAGGACAGATATGCAGACGAAACGTCCATATACAAAAAAATAAAACTTTGAAAAATAAAATTTAAACTCGAGTAACGTTGCTATTAGCAGAGAACTGAACGCATGGAAGGTACAGACACTGAGAAGATCGTGGTGGACGCTGAAATCAGACCCCAAGAGCAGCAGAAGCCGGCACTCACTGCCCTATGCTGGGCCAGGGGGAGGAGGTAGTATTGTTGGAGCTCAGAGGTCAAGCTGGTGCAGGGATGTCCCGAAGGGAGTAGAGCGTACAAGAAGTACAGGTGGTGGTCATGCCTAGGAGGAGGAGCAAACCCTGGCCTTCCCTTCATGGACCTGCTAACTGCTCCCAAGTGCCTCGCCGTGAGCGCCAAGCGTGAGGTCAGCCACTCTGCAGAAAAGGCAGGGTCCGTGGGCAAACAAAGGCATGAGGGGAAGCAGAATGTCCGTGGGGTAACCGGAGACTGTGGCCCCGAGACAGCCTCGCAGGCTCACCAGACTCTAGCAGGACCCCGTGGCCTCGGAGCTCTACCTAGACCTGGAACGCAGCATCAGGTGGGCCTTGAGACATCAGTTCCCGAATGCACATAAGACCAAACACAAACTGCCCCGCTAGGAACCGACTACAGAGAGCTGCTCCACACCCCTGCTTGCCTATGACACTCCAAAGAAACGAGAGAGGAGACCATCTTACAGAATGCAGGCGGGATCTAGGTGTAGTGGTCTGTCCTGTCACCTGGGCATCCTGTCCCTTTAAAAGACAAGCCCCGCCCCCACACACGTGCTCCTTCTGCTGAAGAAAAAAAAAAAACAAACTAAAAAGAATCTCTCTCTCTCTCTCTCTCTCTCTCTCTCTCTCTCTCTCTCTCTCTCTCTCTCTCCCTACCTCCCTCCCTCCCTCCCTCCCTCTCACACCCCACACACTCCACCCACACCCATCCCTCTTCTGATTTAGCATGTTGCTGGGGGTGGAGCCCTCCCCTCTGCTGTCTTTCTCCCCTCTGGTACTGAGTTCTCGCTCTCATACACCGGTAAAACCTTTCAGGAGCGCGCCCAACTCTCAGCACCTTCCTCCATGGGCGAGGACTTGATTCTGTGCTAGGTGGCAGGACGGACTTGGTCTTGGAAGAATAGCCATCAACTGCTTTTGAGAAATCAAGGCTTGTTGGGGATCTTCCTAGACCTCAGCTTCAATCCCAAAGCATGCATACAGTTTATAGAATGTGAGGTTCACAGGAAAAATATATTCTGCTGCCTAAAGTATACATTGCTACACAGAACAAACGTCTATGAAAAAACAAATTTCAGGTTGTTATGTATTACTGTGGTCTGTCATGCCTTTCCTCAAAATACTGGATTTTGCTAATTTTTTAAACAAAGAAACATGAAAATTTACAAACAACTTCATTTATCACTATTCTAGAGACAATATTCTTAAATTTTCCATTTGTAATCTAATAATCTAAGAAAGAAAAATATTGTTCTCTCCATTTTCTTGCAAACCAGAAAATTATATTACAAAATAAGACTGTTTAAAATATGTGTGTGTGCATATATAAATATATATATTATTTTTTATTTACCTCATTTGTGATGAGTGTTCCAGAAAGATCTATTGATATCAAGGATAGCATGCTTGTAATAAATTCAATTGCGATGTCAGTCAAATGATCACAGTTTCGTAAGCTCAAATAGTTCAAATTAGGGCAGCTGAAAGAAAATGCCGCGAAGGGTTAACCTGAGCTCCCAAACACATCAACACCAGCTTCTCCATGGAAAACTCTGGGAATACCAAATGGTGTGGAAGAAAGGATCGGCCTTTTCCTAACCTACATGTAAGCCCCAACACAGAAAACAGTTTAGCTGTTTTGTTTGCTGACACAGGGTCTTATTTTATGTCTTGCATTGGCCTGGAACTCACTACGTAGTTCTGGGCTGGCCTTGAACTCCTGGCACGCCTCTCTCTCGCCTCAGCCTCTGAGGTGCTGTTTGGGACTGAGTTTCACACTGCGGTTTCCGACAATGCAAGGAAAGCATTTATGACAGTTCCATGAAGCACCGTCATGGAACTGCCCAGAGAAATAGCCACCGCGGGCAGGGCTGAGCTCCACACTTCTCTCACAGTGGTTTGTAACATTAGAGAACAGAAGGCCACCACCAAACGGGGAGGGTGAAGATTGAATCAACCAATCAGAACAGCCCTCAGGAAGCTTGGAGTAAGCTGGGGCGGTACCCTTGGACAGGGCAGGGAAGTCACTCTCCCCACATGGTCACCTCTCTGCTCAGAGAGATGTCACTCAGCCCAGGTAACAATGAAGGAAGCAGCTCATGTGGGATTAGGCGAGTTCAGGCTAAGGACTTCAATGCCTAAGGGCTACTTCAGAGTGCCTCCTGTGCTGGAGTGGGCTTGGGCTGATCACTCCCATCACAGCTCAGGCGCTAAGGCAGGGTGGGGCTTTGTCCTACCGCTCCGACAGTCTCACGATGGAGGTGTCGCCCAGGAGGGTGCAGTTAGTCAAGTTGAGCTCTCTGAGCCTCACGCTTGCGGGACCATCAAGAAACTGCCGCAGGCCGGTGTCGCTAATCCTGTAGGAAGGGAGAGAGGAGCGTCAAGCACTCGTACAACATGAAGGCTTGTGGTAACACCAGTCTCTCCATCAAATACAGTCCAAAGAAGAAAATATCTGCACTGGTCTTTTGTCAAGTTAAAAAATGATCGCACAGCTCTTCACATAATAGAAAATGGATAGGGAATAGTAATAGGAGGGATAACCACAATAATCTGAATTAATAACACGATGATCTCTTTCTTCCGGTTTAAAATGTACTAAGGTTAAGAAATACCTGACAGGATCTGCAAAGAGCTAAGGCCGGATTGTAGACAGAGAGGAGCAAGACTCAAGATCCTGGATGGATTTCCGCTGCACTCAAGGTCGCCTGGGCTGGACTGAAAACACAAGAGGTGACCGACGGACCGCTAGACCACAGAAAACATGCATCTGGAAGACGACCTTGCCCTCAGCCTGTCCTCATGAGCAGCATCTCCAGGGGCCAGCATCATCCCCTGCGGTCACTCCTGCATCAACTTCCGGAAGCTCAGGACTCATCACTCTCTGTCTCCCAAGTGGGCTTTTATTTCTAATTCCAGCTGAAGACCACCAGGTCCATCTTTAGAAAGTCTTACAGCCAGAGAAACAGGACAGGGGATCGTATCAGGTCAAGCCAAAGAAGAACGTTCACACACACAGCCTACAGGACAGCAGACGGGAAGAGCCCTGAGGGCAATCCAGGCTGGCTGCACTTTCTCTTGGTGTCTACCGTTCACCTATGTGAGTTCATTCCTGTTGCTGTGATGTGATGCCCTGGGCCAAGCAGCTTCTGAGAAGGAAGGGCATTGAACTCAGAGCAGATAGTCGCCTCACATCCGGTCAAGAGCAGAGAGAGCTGCAGGTACCCAAGGCACCCAAGCTGCCTGCTGGGCATCTTGCTCTCAGCTGGCTTTTCCTTCTCACACTACTCAGGCCTGTCTCTGTCTCTCTCTGCTGTTACGATAAACACTGGCCAAAATCAACATGGGGAGGAAAGGGTTTACCACATCTTGGAGCTTAGAGTCCATCATTAAAGGAAGTGAGGACAAGAACCAAAAGGCAGCAACCTTGGAGATCCTGCTCCCAGGCTTGTGCTCAGATACAGTTTTTAGACAGCCCACGCCCACCTAATCAGAGACAGCATCTCCCATGTGGGCTAGGCCCTCCTACACCTGTAAGCACCCAAGACATAGTCATGCCCACAGTCAACATGAGAGAAGCAATCGCTCAGTTGAGGTCCCCTCTTTCATGTTAGCCATCACAGGACCCCCAAACCAGGGCATGATGCTTCCCACGTTCAGGGTGGGTCTTCCCACGCCAGTTAACAAGGATCCCCCTCCCCATCCACACACATACACAGAATGCCCACAGGCCAACCTGACAGACGATTCCCACTGAAACTCCTTTCAGGTGATTAGTTCTGGGTGACAAAGTTGACATTAAAAATGACCACAACATTGTAGTCCAGCAAATGGACTAGTTTAGTGAATCCCACAACGCCTCTCACTAGGCACCTGCCTGGGCGGCAATCCGGAGGCTGCTGGGGTGGGAAAGGAGGCATGACAAAGCAGAGGTCCAAACACAATCAGCTTGTGCATTAGCAAATACCAGACTGGAGTAATCAGTGAGTAATGAGTTAACGAGAAAATAAGATACAGCTCCCAGGGTGGAAGACTGAGAAATATATCTCTGGAAAAGATTTGCAAAAGGAAGCAGGAAGGCAGCACCATGGGCAAGGACCTGACGGTGAAAGTCCACGGAGAAAGAACTGCAGCGGGGGTGGTCTAGGAACCCTGAGACTCTCCTCAGGTGGGCTAGCCCCTTTCCGTGAACATGCTGTACGCACACATCTCTCTGCACTCAATCTAAGTAGCAGCCTGGGACACCACCTGAGCCCCATCCACACCGCCCGACTTGTTCTCTTTCCTCTGTGAAACGGTATGACTTGCCCTGCCCCTAACAGTTCCCATTCAAACAGATTTCCAGAATGAGAAATAGCTCTAGCCAGCTCAACTTATTCTGGGAGCGTGTGCAATAAGGCAAACTTGTTTTCCAATGAGCTTTTAGGGAAAATCGTCTGTTTACTGTCTTGGGCCTGGGCACAACTGGGCAGGTATATGAGTAAGATCAGATGCATTATGGGAAAGGGCATGTGCAGTGGGGAAATGATTACATAATTAAATTCATCAGCCAAGATAGAAAACCTCCCTACACAGTAAGACTTGGGCCCGGCCTTTTCTGCTCCCCTAACACTTCGAAAGAGCCTGGCTCAGCCTTGATAATCTACATTGCTTGAACACCGAGTCGACACACTCCAAGTGGCTTTTACCTCACACAGTTGGTCAAGTTCAGCACAGCCAGTTGCTTCAACACAGAAAGCGACTTGAGGCTGCTGTCCGTTAGCGCCTTGCAGTCCACCATGTAAATGTGATTAATACCTGGGTAGTTCTTGTCTATATATTTGAAGCACGCGTCAGTAATCCTTTTGTTTCCTGTTGAGAAAGAAGAAAATACAAGTACTATCTTTAAATGTCCAGGGGAAAAAATTAAATAAGGTTAAGCCACGCTTTTAGTATCACAGACCTTCAAATCGAATTTTTTTGAGGTTGCAGGAAGAAAGAGCTTTGAAGGCGCAGTCAGAGATGTGTGGTGAGCCAAGGAAAACCACCGTGGAGATGCGGGGACACTTCTCAACCAAGACCTTCGGGAGAAGGAGAAACGGAGACAGGCTCACTACTGCAGAGCACCAACAAGGAGGGGATGATCATTCCCTCAAGACCTTCAGAGCAGACAGGCTGACTGCTACATTTTCCTAATTTTCAAGCAAATAGGGCTGATTTCGTATTTTATGAAATCAATATGCTCATTCTCAGCAATGTAGAGAAATAGAAATTAAATGTTACAAGAGCATGGGAAAACATGAGGAAAGAAAATGTTGGAAAAGCCAGATGGCAGTTGACAAGGGGATCAGATTAAGTCAAGCAGAGCTGGGCCTGCGTCACAGTCGGGAGAATGACAATTGTGCTCTGGCTGTAACATCAAAAGTAGTTAAACATTCAGACGTTTTGTCTGCCTGTTGCTGTTTGTCTATAGGCACTGGTGTTTCGCCTGTATGTGTGTCTGTGTGAGGGTGTCATGTGCTCTGGAACTGGAGTTACAGACAGATGTGAGCTGCCGTGTGGGTGCTGGGAAATGAACTCAGGTCCTCTTGAAGAGCAGTGAGTGCTCTTAACCACTGAGCCATCTCTCCAGCCCCTCAAATGTTTCTGTGAGGTACGTGCATGCGTATGTGCGACTATTTAAGTGATTTCCTAGCTATGAATCAATTCTAGTGAAAGGCTGGTTCATGTTTCTCAGTAGCTCAGGCCAGCAGCGTGTGTGCTCATATAAACGAGGGAAAGGCTCGTCTTGTCACCTACTTTTACGCAGTTGTCGGTCAGGGTTGGCATGTCGTTGATGGTCAGGTGCATGATGCCCGTGCAGCTGCTGGCGATGTTCCTGAAGCCTTGCACTGAGATCTGAGTCACAGGATAAGATGGTGGGGAAATTAATTAGCGGGGAAGCCATCGCCAGAGGTGGCCGGGAAGTCTTTGCATGTTTTAAAATGAAGACCACGTGCTGCTGAGATAGCTCAGGGAGAGAACTGGCTGCCAGCCTGCCAGCCTGAGTTCCATACCCAGATCCCACGGGCTAGAAGGCAGGCCTGACCCAGCAGCTTGGAGTCTGACCTCTGCAAGCTCCATGTGGCCCACACACCAAAGCATATTCACACACACACACACACACACACACACACACACACCAAATAAGCAAACAAAGAAATGCAAATTTCAAATAGGAAAAGAAAATTGAAAGCATAAAATAGGACTGACAAGCCAGGCGGTGGTGGCGCACACCTTTAATCCCAGCACTCGGGAGGCAGAGGCAGGCGGATCTCTATGAGTTCAAGACCAGCCTGGTCCACAGGAGCTAGTTTCCAGGACAGGCTCCAAAGCTACAGAGAAACCCCATCTCTAAAAATAAACATGAACCATTTGAATAATTATTCAGTGTTTTTGTTTTTTGGTTTTTTTGTTTTGTTTTGTTTTTTCGAGACAGGGTTTCTCTGTAGCTTTGGTGCCTGTCCCAGAACTAGCTCTTGTAGACCAGGCTGGCCTCGAACTCCCAGAGATCCGCCTGCTTCTGCCTCCCGAGTGCTGGGATTACAGGCGTGCGCCACCACCGCCCAGCTATTCAGTGTTTTATAAGTCACCACCTGCATCTAATTCCAAAACAGCTTCATAAGGCAAACGAGCAACCAGGTGCCTGCTGGCCACACACCCTGCCCCTTGGTTCCTGGCATTGCTAACCTGGTTTCTGACTCTTTGGACCACCTTGTGTGGAATGTTTAATACAAATGCAACTACAGAGTGTGAAACCTTTTGTATCTAGCCATTTTGCTTAGCATTTTGTTTATCCTCCGAATTTGTCAGGTTTTCTGGAGGAATGGAACTATAGAACATATGTATATTACATGTGGATCTATTACAGTAACTTACAAGCTGTGGTCAGCATGGTGCTTTATTAACCTTGAATTTTCTTAATACTAACGAAAAAGGAACAGCATCAGCAGAGAGACATTGGATAATAGCAAAAACTTCTGAATTAAGTCAGCTGATATATTTCAAGGATGTGTTGACCTCACAATGGAAACCAGGAGATGTGCTACATTGGGGAAGGGGTTTCACTCTTGTTTCACAGGAGAAGAAAAGCTGTGGACACTATCAAAATTAATAAAGATTCAGCTTGAAAAAGAGAAACCTCCTGAAAAAGAGAAATGACAGTCATTTGCAGAGGTTATACAGATGGTAAGAAAACCTCATGAGGTTGGGGCAGGGTTCTGTTCTTGTCTTTGCAGAAAAATATTCATCTTCCAAGAGTCGAGAGACCTTGGAGATCTAGATGCCTAAAGATGAAAAGACAGCTATCCAGAAAGAATTACCGAGTTAAGAGAAATCTGACTTATGATGCTATATCATCTGTGTGGTAAAATACGATTATCTGGACATGTATATATCTCTACTTAAAAATCAAAGCTGGCTTTGGAATTGGACAATGGCTATCCTTCTCTAAACCCAAGCATGTTGTCAGAAGAAAAATTCAGAGTTTCTGTCTCATGTCAGGAGCCATCTGGTATGGGACAGAAAGAAGATGGGTTTTCAGGAAATATTTACTTTCTCCGTGTCCTTTTGTCTATTGTGTCTTTCACTGAATGTGTGTCTACATGAATAATGCTCAAGTTTTCTACAATGAACAGTAGATTCCTGCAGTAATCTCTGAGGCTTCCAGGAAGAAGATGGGGCCCCACAGCAATGCCTGATATCATGGTTGATATGACGTCGCCATGCTGACCGCACTACCAGGAGACTGGTTTTGGGGTGCCAGCTGTGGGAATGGTGCGCCTTCTCACAACAATCTGACCGCACTACCAGGAGACTGGTTTTGGGGTGCCAGCTGTGGGAATGGTGTGCCTTCTCACAACAATCTGACCGCACTACCAGGAGACTGGTTTTGGGGTACCAGCTGTGGGAATGGTGCGCCTTCTTACAACAATCTGGACAGAACTCCAAATAAGAACCAAAACAACAACAAAAACCCCTATCAACTACTCAGAGACCATTTACAATTATACAAACAGCAATCTTGAAACTTAACCATCATTTTACTTTTACAGGGTCTCCTAGAAAGAACATCACCCCCATGATAGCTGGAAGCAATTCTAGAAGACGACATCCCCTCTCCCAACAAAGTTTGTCCTCATGGCTAGGGATACCATTTAGGGGTTGATTATTACTTGTATAGGGTTGGAGTGAAAATTATATAGGCCCAGAGATAAAAAAAAAAAAAAGAGGGAAAATTGAATGGGATAATAGGCAGGTTAGTGTGAACTTACTCACACTAATAATAATAATAGTAATAGAGTGAATACTTGTGAGCTATTATTTATGGACAATTTACATTGGTATGGATTCTTGTACACTGACACAAGTTCAAATTATATTTGTTATTTCTGTTCACAATATTTGTACACCTATGCAAAATTATTTTGTATAGTATTTGTATAATATAATATATTGTATCATGCATTTTGTTCAAGACATTTTGTATATTGATACAATTTTAGAATACATTTATCATATTGCATTATATATTTCTAACTCTGATCAAGATATTTATACATTATTTACATTTTGAGGTCACTGTCCTCCTTTACTGCACAATTGTTTAAAGATTGTTTAATATTCTGATATGAAGTCTTGATCACTAAGTTATATAAGTATTAAGTATTATAGGTCAATAGTCATTCATGTTTGTTATACTTTTAGTCAGGCTAATTAGGTTCCTTAGATACATAGAGGTTGTATTCTACATAGATAAGTAACCTTCAACCACTTCTAAGATCTGTAGAACATGGCATTTAAATAACTTAGGATTCTGTTGATGTGAGACACAATTGCTCCTAGCAGCACCCATCTATTCTCGAGAGAGTGTTGAACACCAAAGACACTCTACTTGGAGTTTGTTTTCTTCTTGGCAAAACTGGCCTTTGGGCAAGGAACTGCCCATACCTCAACCACTGACAAAGTGCACAGTGTCCGGACTGGATAAGCAGGATACAAGAAAAAAGACTGCCAAACCTTGCCAAGACAGGGTAAGATGATTCTGAAATTGTTCCTGCCTCTGAAAATGGTCTGTCAGTTACTCTAGGCCTTAGCCAAAGTTGGTTGCTTCAACATTGCAAATGAGACTTTGGGTGATTGCTCAGGCAGCCAGTTGTCTGTCATCTTCTGCAGTTTGGAAGCTGCTTGATTGCACTTCCTGCCTACTTAAGTAATATTATCTCCCTTCTCAGGCCTTCCATGGGGTTGAAGATTAGATAGTCATAGTTACCTTCCTCTTATGATCTAGCCAAGCCATTTCCAATATAAGACTTAGACTCCTTAGGATAAAAGGCTTGTTAAAACATTAAGATATATTCTTTGCTTAATATTGTTTATGTTGGTTGTAATTCTAACTCTATACTTGATATCTGTTCCTAGTGTGCATAGTTTTGTATTGGGTTTAGAACAAAAGGGGGTGCTGTGGGAGCTCCTTTGGCCAATAGTCTTTAAGATACCCACCCACCTGGGCATGGTCTCTTATGCTATAAATAGAGCTATAAAGCTTGTGCTCACTCTCTTGCTTCTGGCTCTCGCTTCCAGCAGCTAGACTCTGTTCCTGTTACCCATTTGTGCAGAAGATTTTGATCTAGGACAGTGATCTGTAAGTCTCCCCTAAATAAATAACCCTTTATTATACGTAACTCTGAAGTAGTGTGGGATTATTTTGTAACTTCCGTCATCAATACTGCTTTGACAGGGATAAAGTCTCTGTTCAGCTGCTCGGCCAATGAGAGAAAAATGGAAATGAGTTTGTGTTTTATGTGTTGCCCTTGTCTTCAATGGCTCTGGAGACTTGGTCCCTTTGCTGGGTCCTGAGAATCACCCAGACACTGGTGACTGGCCATCACCCCCATAACAGAAGCCCATAGAAAATAGGGAACTCAACACACAGACATACACATACACACGCACACACACACACACACACACACAATTTTTAAATAAAAAAAAATACATCTTTAAAATCAATTGGACATAAACATATGGACTTTGGGGTCCTTGGTTTTATTGGCGTATGTCTTTCTATTTCTATGCCAATACCACGCTCTTGGACCCCTGTAGCTTTACATCCTGAAGAACACTGTCTTTTATGAGGTCTCCTGATGACCAAAGCGTAGACTGTATTCAAGACAGATTATATAGCAGTGAAGAACTGATACCAAACTAAAATATCAGTAATTAAAATGGATTAACTAAAACGGTAACCCATCAACCTCCCCAAAATACAAATATCTTAGAGAAATAACCGATATGATGAAATAGCTCAAAAGGTTGGCTACATAAAGCTTTCCTATTGAGAATCTGGTCCACAGGGAGCAGGCTCAGTGCCTCCTGTTGAAAGTACAGATCCACATAGAACCCGAAGCTGAACAAATTCCAACTCTCCAGGTCATCCCCAAGTCAGAGAAAGGAGTAGAGTTAGCTCTTCCGAGAAACTAGGGTGATGTCTATCTACCTAAATCTATTTCTAAGAGAAAGATTGATTTTAACAAATCAGATCATGCCTGGTGCAGTGGTGTGTAGTTGGTTGCTTTTACTCTTTACTCTTTGGAAGGGCCCGCCATGCGACTCCCAAACAAACACACACAGAGGCTTCTTACTTATGAATGCCCAGCCTTAGTTTGGCTTGTTTCTAGCCAGCTTTCCTTAATTTAAAATTATCCCAACTATCTTTTGCCTCTGGGCTTTGATCTTTCTCTTTTCTTCTTCTCTGTGGCTTGCTGTGCAGCTGGCCCCTGGATTTCTCTGCGGCTCGCTGTGCAGCTGGCCCCTGGATTTTTCTGTGGCTCACTGTGCAGCTGCCCCTGGATTTCTCT